TCACTAATTGGAACCAGTTGATCCTTTTTCCTGTGTATTGATTTTTTAAATCCTAGCAGTTAACAATGATTCTAATGTATCGTAACACTTTAGACCTTAATCATACAGTGGTGCGTTTGCTTGTAGCTTTTGTTTGAGTTTTAATTAAGAAGACCTTGTGTCTCAAAGCCTGAGCTGGGTTTTTAATTGCTAGTATGTATATCACACAGACTTCAAAAGAAATAAAATATGTTTATAACAGAGAGCACAAAGGAGAGCTTTGAAATGTCTATAGCCATACAAAGTGACATAATTAAAAACCTCTGAGTGCCTCTGTGATATAGGACTTATATATATTTATTTATGCATATTTATAAGGCAGACTATTATATACCCTTAGACTTCATGAGAAAGAAATTTCAGCAATTATAATGAGAAATAATTACTGCAAATCCAAACTAAAGTGTTGGTCAGGGCTACAGGAAAACATCAGATTTATTTTCTTCAAAATGCTCTTCACATTTGATCTAGTGCACCAAGAAACACCCAAAAGCTTATCTGTGAAGACATATTTTATAAAATGGAAGCAAAAATAGCATTTTGAAATGTTTTGTAAATCATGCATATTTTACGAAAAAAATTAATTCACTGTAAAAACAGAGAAACCATAACTTTCTCGAGGACTCATTCATGCAGAGCTCTCTCCAAGACTATTACAGAAAACACCTCTTTCCATCTCTCCCATGTTCTAATATCAGGGACAAATAATTTTTTTCATTATTTTTATAGTGTATCTTGCAAGGAGACTATCAAGTGAGTGAGTTTCTTCATTTTACTAAATTTAACATTTCCTAGGGAACAGGAATGCTACCTCTTACCTACCCAAATATTTTGAGGCCATTAAATGTGAACATATCACACGAAATAGGAGTTTCAGACTCTTTTTAATAAAGTAGCAAATACAAAAGGGGAAGGAATAAGCATGGGAAACACAACGCAAATAGCCTGCTATATCAGATAAAGCCATGGACATCAATTGCTATGCTTCCCAAAACAGAGTATACTGTACAAAGACAGCATATGACATTCAAGGCACAATTCCTGTAAATATAGATAGCTCCAGTTGTAAACACCACCAATGGAAGCCAGAGAAATAACCTGCAACACAGTAGCCAGTGACCCAGGAGTCACTCTTCTGTAAGACAGCTAGACCAATTCTGACCCTTTCACGATAACATCATTGCCTAAGTTACTTAAAGACTGACCCTTCTTATTTGATCTTCAAAGACCCTGCATGCTGAGAAAGACCATTGCGGTTTATTTCAGTAGGACAACTGCCTGATGCATGCAAGACTATGCTATTCCAGAGATTTATATTTGGAGCAGAAACAGAAAACTTAAAACAGACTCTGTATAGCGATAAATGATGCTAGTCTGCCTAGCTGTGGCTGCTGAAGAAAAACTAGATAACTAAGGAACAGAAATACATGCAGCAAGGGAGGGTGAGGACAGAACTCTGTACCCAAATATCTGGACATTTAGAAGAGAGTCCTGTGTCACTTTGTTTATTCAAATACATGATAACAAACACCAGAATGAAAAGTATTTCCTGACCCTAACTTTTATACAAAAGACAACACTGCAAAAGCCAGACATAAGCCTAACAAATTGCTTGTACACCTTAAATAAATGTATTTGTATGCATACACTGGCAAACATGATACAATCAAATGATTTGCATAGGCAGCTGTGTTTTCTTTCTTTTTCCAGGTGAGCAGGTCATTTAACTCAGCTCTACTGCTTCATAGACCTCTGAAAATTTGACCTGTGTGTTTCATTTATAAACATATTAAATGAAAAAGCAGACTTTTTTAACCACTGGAATTTGGCTACAAAGCATTCTGCCAAATGCTCCTCTGACTTTCACGCAGCCTCCCTTAAGTCAATGGCTTGCTTGGCTGGAATTCAAGGAAGAATCTGGACCATTATCAATAACTGAAATCCTAATAAAGAAACTCAGAAAAAAGCAGTTTTACAAATGAAGCATACTATGCAAGAGTAATTGTGAACAGGAACAATCCCACTTAGAGAAAAAAATAAATGATTCACTGCTTGTTACATTTGTATTGGCTTCTATTGTTTAAATTAATAGATATTGTTTATGATTATATCTTGATTAACACTATTGTGTTCTAAATATAGAAGGTAAAGCTAGAAAATACCATTTTTATTTGTTTCTCTCAGCCAATTATCTTTTCTTTTCTACGATGTGCTTCCCAAACATGCAGAGAATCAGTCTGTGTCAATGGTACTTTTTTTTTTTCTGCTTTCATCCTTTTTTTCTGGCACTGATTCTTAGTGTACTGCCTTCTCACGACCAACATGCCAGTCTTTCACTGAAGAGGGGAGAGTTGTAGTTGTGCAGAGAGAGAAAGAATATGTAGACAGGTTATCCTTAGCAAGAACAATTCCTTCTCTCTAAAATAAACAGCTCCCAGTAACAGTCAGTGCAAAGAGCAGTTCCTCACAGGACCACACCTCACTGTTGTATAATCAATGACCTCATTTATTTATTTTTACTGCATCACTTCACGTCTTTAAGTTAGGCTCTCAGTAATACGAGCAGAAAGTCTGCACAAAAGCCAAAAGTATCAGCCAGATAAACAAATTGATTTAGAATCTAACGGAAATAAAGGAAAAAAATATTTGACCTCCAAAAGACAACACATTTTAAAAAATAATTCTTTCAGAGACCTCCGCATGCCCTGGCAGTTACCTGACTGGAAATTCATTCATCACTATGAAAATGAACTTCATGATTTGGAAATCTACCACCTTGAATACTAAAAAGATTTTATTTCTTTTTCTTTTTTTAAGTATGCTTCCTTGACAGATTAAAAATTCTCGCTGTTTTCCCTACTTTGCTTTATTTCCTTCTTGTAATCGAGTTTTCATGCTGCCAAGGGCTACAGTGTTGGGTTTTTTTTCTTTTTCTCTGAGAAGATTTAAGGCACACAAATACTAATATGAGTTAATACCAGGTTATTAGGTTGATAATGATTTTATCAGCTAGGAGATAACCAGGTGGAGACAGTGGCTTAGCCACTGGCTTGGGAGACCAAAGGAAAGGAGTCCTAATTCAGACCTGCCACTACTTCTGCTATGGAAAGCCTGTGCAAAGCACAACAGAACAGCAAATATGTTTTATCTTGTATTTTTTGTGTTTGCCTTTTTGTATTTTTGCCTGTTCACAGCAATTATTAAATGCAGCTGCAATAGCAAAGATTCAGTATCGCATTTTGCTGGAAGTCAACTAGTAGCAGAGTGGAATACTGCAGACCTAAGGTCCCTTAAGGACGGGTTTCTAGGGATGAGGAAGTTGTGGAAACTAAATGATCCTCAATACATAAATCTGGGAGCCTGACCAGATGATCCTTACACAGGTAACAAGTAAAACAAGTTGCAAGCTCCTCCAAATTTGAGAATACTTTGTAACTAGATGAGAAAAAGTTAGGAGAAAAGAGTTCTACCCATTAACTCTTCAGCGAATATATATCCTAAGAAAATGGAAGGAACAACAGAAGTCCAGAAAAACAAACTCGTTTTTGTTTTGTTTGTTTGTTGGTTGGGTTTTGTTTTATTTTGTTGTTTTTTTTAATAAATGAAAGCTTTTTGTGCCATATGAAAGAATAAAGAACATTATTCTGCATTGTTAGAGAGTCCTACCTCTTTTAATTTTGATTCACTAATAGTATTCAAGTAGTTTCTATTTCAAGTCTAAGTAGCTATATTGTACAATTAATGGACAAACTACCATTCAATGATTTCCACACTATTAGGAGACAATATGGCTTTAAATAGAATGTGATTTCTAGAAATAATTTTGTTGGATTTTATGTTCCTGTAAAACTGCATATTGTATTTCTAGAACTGACCTTACTACAGGATCTCCTACCTGGCAAATATACACTTCTCATAATTCTACCCAAAAAATTTAAACAGAGAATCCAACATATTTTGGTCCTGAATTATCAGACAGAACCAATTATAACTTATTAAAAAGAGCCAATTTTCACCTGTTTGCATAATAGCAAAATTTAACTATCTTACGTGTCCTTCATGGACACATTAAATCCTAAGCATCAATTTTCATCTAATAGTATATACATTTTTTTAACTAGTAAATATTTATTAATATGATGCACATGATTCTTTGTTTACATATATTTTTAGTTGCAATTTAATAAAATTATGCCTTATGATCTGTTCTCACAGCATAAAATGCCACATTTTTAATTTGTTCCTTAATTAATAACTCTAAATTTCTTCTCAATAAAAAAATCCATGGAAGAATTGATTGGTGGGTAAAACAATTCAAATTTTCTACACAGTACTTAACTGTCAAGATAATTCCACTTTCACTATGTCACTGGTTTAACAAATCCTGGAAATGCTGGAAAGCACTGCCTATATGTACAATAAAACTTGCACTGATTTCTGTAGAACCCAAATTTCATCCAGAGCTGCTCTTTCTCCACAGGAATTGCAGGAAGATAGAAATATATTCCCTTTTTTTTTCAGTTTGGTTTCCCCACACACACACAATTTTGAATCAAAGATTTAGAACAGTAATCACAGTTACCCCTTCTATAATCTGAAAGTAGTTTCTAGATAAATTTTATGCAACTGGGAAGAAACAGTACCAAGTATGAGTAACTCCATGTTTTCAAGATGTTTTTTCTTCTGGTCACAGAGATACAGATAATATCAATGAACTAATATAACTAACCTGGTGTTTCTGATACTGCCTATAACTCACTGTGATATACTCTATTTATTTGGCAGTCACATTGATCATCTCAAAGACAAACATTAAAAAACAGGGTGAGTTGACAGAAAAGAGCAACACACCCCTAATTATGATTGTTATTTCTACTAATTATTCTGAACTAACCTTAAAGAATTCTCAATCCCTTATTTAAAATATATGCAAACATTTAAAATTTGATCTAGCGAGGTACCTTTAATTTCACCAAGGAGATCACTTGTGTTTAATTTTTCCATCTTCTCCTTCCAGTCTTTAGAGAGTAGCTTTTCCATGCAGGATGAATCTATTAACAAAAAATAATAAAGGAAAAGAAGAATTATCAAATAATCAAATATATTCTCACACATCAGGAAAACAGTTGCTACCTTCATTTTAAAACTGTTCGCCCTGTTATAGTTAGACCATGTTTTCAGAGGGAAATGAACTTGTAGCCAAACAGACTTCTCATTTAACTGGATTCTAAATCCAAAGTAATTCCACTGAGGTTAATGGAGTTACTATGGATTTAACAAGAGTCTAATTGAAAGAAAAACTTCATTTGGGATTTATGCATGCTAACTGCCAATTTACACGCATAGATTGCCAATGTATATACAAATTCTGTCTTTTTCATTTGAGAATGATTGTACACTCAAAATTATACATGAAGATCTAGAGGCTTTTTTTGGAAATTTGGCAGTGACATCTGAAACCATTTTTATACCCATGTCAATGCAAAAGTTATTCATATAATGTCTCCATGGAATTCATAAAAGCACTTTACATATTGGATGTTCACAGTATCAGAAATTTTCTCAGTTCACTATAAACCACATGCAATGATTAGAAGATGGGCTTTCATAACATGAAGTTCAGAATATATTTCAAATCTTTGCCCAAATGTGGGAGGCCTTCTGTAGGCAAAACTCGCTGAAACCATTACATTTAGGGGAAAGCAGAAGATTGGCCTCAGTGAGTTTCCTATGATCAGACCCCAATTCCACCAGAAAATTTGATACCGAGCATATTTCAATAAAATCTTTTTTTTTTTTTTTGTATCCTCAATTAAACTAACTGGCTCTGAAGTCAAAATTATACATAACCTTCCAGATAACTCATAAAAGTTTATTTTTAAGATGGAAATCCTTATGGCTGAAGTTGTGATCCAGATTTCTATGAATTTAAGAACCGCAATTGAGATTTATAAACAATTATCAAGAAAACTTTACACAAAATTGAACACTTATTTTTCCTTCCCAGTTAGTAATAATAGAATCTCAATTAAACACTGTGCATTTACTTTTATTAGTAGACAGACTCATCAAAAGCCCCTATGCTAAACTGCTTGAAAACACTTAGGGACAGTTTAGCAAGATAGCAAAAACATTTAAAGGCAACCCTATCCCTTAAATGAATCTTTGCAAAAAGCCTCCCATTATAAGGCCACATACCACTACGGGTGGTGGTAAGCACCTTCTTTCTTAGTGAATACACTGGGAATAGCCATATACCTTTGCTTGTTAGAAACTCTCATAGCAAGCTGCTGTTTGTGTAAGGAGATCAATTTACACAATGCTTTGTAAATAACTAATAAAGTTCCAAATTTAAACATTTATACCGATGCCACTCCAGTAACAGATTAACACTAGCAGGTACAAGAAGACAGAATTCAGCCTAACATATCTGCTGCTTAATTACTGGCAGATTAAGGCCAAATTGTGGCTCAAATTCTCATGTCAGCACCCCAGCAGAAGTACTCACACAAGTGAAAACAAAAGTAAAAAACCCAGATTAACGATGGCAACACAGATCATATCGATGCAATGGCTAATAGTTCGTTTCACCTCAGAGGATTCCAAAAATGCTCAGAGGGAGGAGAAGCATTCAAAAAGGTCACAAAAAGAGGATTTAAAGTCTTAGGAAGAAGTGTAGGGAAGAAAAAGGTCATATGGCAAACCATATTTTAGGGTTCAAGTATTTTCAGCCTCAAAATTCACATTAGCATCACTCATATAAAACAAACAAACAAACAACTGAGGAAAGAGACCTAAAACCAGTTGAAAGTAAACCAAACTGTAACTACCAAAAGATCAAAGATCAGGTTTTAATTGCAATACATTTTCTCTGTGGCAAGCCTCCGTGGAAAGACAACACAGCTTGTAAATGTTTTTGAAGTAATATTTCAGTAGAAAAGCTAACTTATTTACTAATTATATATTTCTATGAAAGAGACAAAATTAAGGAGCTGTAAGTTGCAGTAGGCAGTGTTAAAATATTTGTTATATAATAACAATTTACTTTTAACAATAACAGGCATTTATTACTTTTATGAGTTCTGGCCTGATAATAGAAGAATCAAGAAATAACCATCAATTATCAATAGAACATTATAATTTGTCTTTTTTGTGATATCATCATTAGTTTAAAAAGATGTTTCTGTGCTTCTCCCCTGCCAAAATTTCAGACCCCTCATCCCTGAAAAAAAAAGAGATTTAGAGTTTTATTTTGATGGTTGCTGTAAGTTGTGTTTTCTGCTGCTTTTAAAAAAGGTATTTTCCTCAATTTGTACAAAGAAGGAAAAATACACTTTTTTAAAAAAAGAAACAATTAGCATATCACTGGAGTTGATAAAATACCTTCCTCAAAAGCAGTTGCTTTTCTTCTCTTACTGTTCTTAAGAACACACATATTTACCTGTACTATTCTTATATTACATAAGGGGAAAAAACACGCTTCTAAAGACAGACTGCCAAAGAACTGGAATGGAAAACAGGTCTATCTGTGTGACACCTTTTTGCTATGATCACATTGCTAGTTGCAATTGTTATCTCTATAAATGACTGAAAAAAATCCATAAGAAACATTTCTTTAAATACTCCTCCCCCAGACGAAGTTCATGTTATAGATATGACTGCATGATTTAGAGCTACTATATTTTGTTATTGGGAAGATTACCAAAACACACAAAGAGCCTTTTAATAAACTTTTATAACATTGTAGAAATAGCTCTTTTGAAATTGCTGTAAATTTTCTATTAGCAAGTTAAATCTGCATAATTTTTAGAATTTAAAATAATGATATGTGCTAACACTCTCTGAGGTCTTCCACATTAGACACAAAACTAAATATAAAGGCTTAGATTTGAAAGGAATATCTCCCTTCAAGTTTTGTCTTCTGTACTCACAGGCACACAGTTTTAAAAGATTTGTGAATCAGAAAAGGATTTTTTTTCTGTTTTCCATACTGGAATTTAATTTTTACATACAAATAAAATCTAGAAAGATATCTTCTGATATCAGTAAAACAGCTTAATCCATACTGATTCATTATCTGCTTTGATTCATTATAGAAACAAAACATCAACTCAGAATCCAGCCCTGCACATTGAAGAAGCCCAAATTCACATCTGCACTGCATCACTCTCCTGCACTGAGGCTCTGCTTCAGCACCATGCCAAAACCTTGTGGATCCTGACATTTTCAAAATTCACGGATTCTTGTTAAAGACAATTATAAAAGAAGAAAAAAAAAAAATTAACATTTGTACATTTTTAGCTCTTTTCACTGACAGTTGGGCTTATGCTGCAAAGTAGTTTATTTACCGACACATGTAACATCAAGTTCAGGAAGTTGTACTATATCAATTTATTATATTAAGAACACACAGTCCCTCATACTTTATATTCTTCTCTTAAGAACTAGGAAAAATTTTCTTTCAAGGGCAGCAAACAGGTTAAGTGTAATTAGACTGAGATGACTAAATTAAATCATTGAGTATTATTTAATATCATGGCTTATTACATACTTTGTTAGCAATTTTAATTGTAAACTAAAAGAGTTTAAAGTACTGTGAGAATCTTGTTAAATGTGACAGTTTTGCAAAGGTGAATAAGAAGAGGATATTGAAAGCGGGATATAAGCGGGGGGGGGGGAACAACTGAGAAAAAAAAAAAAAGCCTAGGTGTTAGACGAAAAGGATCTCTCCACAGTGACAAAGCATTGATGAAAAGAATTAACATTTGTCCATTGGGTAATCAATCAGTCATGGAATGGATGGAATCCAGCTCTTTGTTGCACGATGGTGATGAAGAACGAGTGTATTAGCTATCACAACTAAGCTCTCAAACTCTTCCGACTGAATGAAAGTCATCTTGTTCCTATCAAGGATAGCTTTTGCCTCGTCTCTTCCTTACTCTCCCTTTTTTCTTTCCTTTTTTTTTTCTTTTTTAATTTCACTTATTAAGTCTTCAACAAGTTACCAACCCCAGCTATAGCTTACATGAATACTGTATGACCTTATGGTGGCCTGCACATATCCTCATCGATTGTTCCTTTTGTTTTAAGCCTCTTAATTCACTGAAGTAGCTCCTATTACTTTCTTTGAAATACAGATTTAAAAAAAAATAAAGAAAAGCATTCATTCCTTGTGTGTATTTTTTTTTTTATGATAAAGTCACACATAAAAGAAAGCCTAAATGTGAGAGTGCAGCAGCAAAACTTCAAAGCACTGACTGTCAGACATTATTATTTCAAATCAGCTTTGACTTTTTGAGACTTAATAAAACACTATAGTACAGACTGGCATATTTATAACACCTACACCAGTGATCAACTGAACTGTCTTATTCTTGCTACTGTGCAGTGCCTTGCTCTTTCTTTTATAATAAGCTTTCCCTCAAAACATGTTGTAACAATACTGCAAACTGATAATTATTACTGATGGGTTCTAAAACATGACTTGTTTTGCATACAATTCTTTCTGAATACACACATTACTTTGTGACAGAAGACAAAAAGCACATTGATTTATTAATAATGACTGCAAGCACATAGCAAGTTCATAAACAATACAGAAATATAATTCAGTCAAAGGTATAGCAGTACAGGTGACATATTTCTACTTGCATCTGAACTGTTACATCTCAAGGAAAGAGGCACCAGGAAAGACAAGGTAGAGGAATTAGAAGAGAACTCAGGTGTACTGAGGCAGACACTGTTCTAAAACCTGATTATAACCAGTAGGAGGAGGATAAACTTCTTTCCTGCTTTTTAGAACAATATGACAGGATTAGTAGCATCTTCATCTCTATTTCAGTAATATCGTCTATAGTTAAACATCATTACAATTTAGTAGATGCTGCTAAACATAGAAAGATGTTATTTTTGCAAGCTTTAGGAATACGTAATAAAGTTCCTCCATCTCTCATGTTTTATATTCTCTAAATTACTCTCATGACATTTATTTGCCTTCAGCTTCACCAAAGGAGAAAAGGTGTCTTTTGGATCAGCCTTCATCAAATGAGTT